GCCCAGGAGTTGGAGGTTGCTGTGAGCTGTAATGCCACGGCACTCTACCCAGGGGGACAGCTTGAGGCTCTGTCTCAAAAAAAAAAAAACAGTAATGAAATGCTACCTTAAGGGAAGAGATGGTTTGTTTAATGGTATGCCACTGGGTGATTGAAACAGGGAAAATTATTTGAAAGCACTGCCTATACTTAGGAGGAACAGGCCTGTGTATGACAGCCAAAGAAGAGCAAAGGTAAGAATAATTTTATTAAAGTTGTTTTAGATAGGGTGAAAAATAGAGTAGGGAGCAAAATTCACAAGAAAATGTTACCCCACTCCAATTTTATCTACCTCCATCCTTCTGTGAAACTGACAGTATCTTAGAATTTATCTAATGATAATCCTGAATTTAAGTTTAGTTATATTTCTAGGAGAAAGCAAATAAATTAAGGATATGAATATTTACCAGAGACACTAATATCAATCCATTCATTGGTTTTACTGAAAGATTTTTCATTTTCCTTGGAAACATTAAATAGATCCTGTGGTGGTACGTTTTCATGTTTTTCTTCTTTAAGAGAAATTTCTTCCGGAGTTATTCTTGTTCTGTTGGAGTCTTCTATATCTATAAAATCATCACTAAAGTCTTCACTTAAATCATTCTTATCAGAAGATGACAAAGACGACAGAGATATGTCATCCACATCATCACTCAGGTACCTAATTTTAGCATCATGTTTCACTGTCTGGTCATGCTCTGTTCTAAAATTTTCATTTTCAATTAGCTCTTGGTCCTTATTAGCAGCTTTGTCCTTAGCCAAAACTGTAGCATCTTCCTCTATACATGTATCAGCAGGTGAATTTTTATTTCCATCAACTGTGATAGTCCCAGAAAATGGAGGTCGGTTAGATTTCAAGAGAGAAGGATGAACCATCCTGTAACCTAAAGTGGAAGTTACACCTGGGCCATTTGGTAAAGCCAGCTTCTTTCCACCAGCAGCATAAGGCCTATTAAATCCATACCCCAAATGTTCATTCCCATTGAGTACTTCTGACTGTCGTGAATTTCTTGTTAGCATACTTGACCGTAGAGGCACTCGAATGGATAGCTGTTGGTTCTGATAAGGCTTTGTTAGGTCTACAGCTCTATTGAAGGAATGTGACCTGGTTATAGATGAAGGTGGAAGGAATGAATTCTGAATGGAATGTGAAAAACTTTGTGACCTTACCATTTTTTCACAACTAATAGATTTCATACTGTCTGGGGATTGTGCTAAGCTTTCTCCAGAACTGCTTCTTGTGGCACTGGAGTTTGCTCTGGGCCTTTGCATGCTACCAGCTGATCGGTTTCCATAAAATCCATTCAACTGCGATTTTGGAGCACTGACTGAAGAATATGAAGTCCTTCCTAATAATGTGCCTTTGGTGAATTTACCCAAATTAGATGGTCCAGAGAAAGACTTTTGGTTTAACTCCTCTGTTGATGACACAAACATAGTAGATGGCTTTGCCAACTTTGATGTGAGTAAAGAAACACTTTTCAAACCTCCCTTTATCCCATTTTTATCAAACATTCCTTGAGTAGAGGCATGTTTATCATGTGAATTCTGAGTATTGCTGGGCTCTTCAGCGTCTTGTGCACTAAGTTGGTACTTATTCGTTTTTCTCCAATTAAATGAATGGGATGATGGACAATCAGAGCCATTATTTTTGATGTAACTTTTGACATTACTATTCTTGGAAGTTCCTAATAAATTAACGGGTGTCCCACTTGGCATTGGTTGCAATGTACTTCTAACAGATTTTGTTCCATACTTTGGCAACTTGGAACCCAAAAATGTCTTGATTTGTGTTTTTTCTTCCATGAGCTATAGGGTACATTTGTTCTTAAAACTGGACAGAATCTATGGAGAAAAAAAAAAGTAGATTAAATATTCCTAAGTAAGGATAATTATATGAATTATTACATAATAGGAATGCATATACTTATATATTAATAATTGCATGCCAAAAATTCCAAAAGCTACTCATGATTCCTACAGAACTCTTAATAAATACTGAATGCACTATTTAAATTAACAACTTCATGCTGGAAGAAAATAAACAACATTTATATACACATTTATAAATTTGCCCCAAATGCCCATCAACCCATGAATGGATCAACAAAACTATGGCATATGTATACCATGGAATATTATTCAGCCATTAAAAAAGACGGAGACTCTACATCTTTTACATTTACCTGTATGGACCAGAAACACACTCTTCTTAGTAAAGTATCAGAAGAATGGAAAAATAAATTTACAATGTACTTAATACTAATTAAAAAATCAATATATAAACAATTACATGCTTATATGAATAATGAAACATAAATACAGTCTAGTACGGGGGTGGGGAGGAAGAAGGGAGAAGGGGGAGGTGTGAAGCTGATTGGCAGAAGGATAGAAGGCATGTGGTAGGATATCACGTATGGTGCACCTTATGAGGATTTACGACACGCCCCCTGGGTGAGGGGCTCTTTTACAACTGGAACTTTATCCTGGAAGTGGGAACTATGTCATCTAAATATTTGTACCCTCATATTAATTTGAAATAAAGAAAAAAAATTTATAAACTTGGGCTATGATGACAGCAAAATCCAGAAATAACAGATTACCAAATTTGACTGTATAAAAAAATATAGATACAAAATAATTTTATATCTTCCAATTTCCAGTTAAAATAACTATTTCTCTCTCATTTAACAGTCTCTTATTGAAATATAAGAGCATGTGGCAGGGTGCCCTGAGCTCAGTGGTTAGAATGCTAGCCCTAAGCACTGGGGATGGTGGGTTCAAACCCAGCCTGGGCCTGTTTAACAAAAAAAAGCAAGCATGTAATTTTTTTGAACATAAATGATCTTATGAAAACTGGGATATATTTTTAGAACCTTAATTACTGGGCGGCGCCTGTGGCTCAGTGGGTAGGGTGCTGGCCCTATACATGGAGGGTAGCAGGTTTGAACCCAGCCCCCGCCAAAATGCAACAAAAAATAGCCAGGCATTGTGGCAGGCGCCTGTTAGTCCCAGCTACTTGGAAGGCTGAGGCAAGAGAATAGCCTAACCCCAGGAGTTGGAGATTGCTGTGAGCTGTAACACTACTAGGGGTGATAAAGTGAGACTCTGTCTCAAAAAAAAAAAAAAAAACAACCTTAATTACTAATATCACAGGAAGGATATAGGTCCAGAATACAAGAATATCAAAAAATATATATTTCTTCTGGCTTTAACGGTTGAGATATCAGGTGTCATTTTAAGCAACTAGCTCAAAAAGAGAACTACAAGCCCAACAGGCTCAATGCACACAAAATGGCATAAAACTAGAAATGAATATTCTATTTGAATAACTTTAATAAAGTATAATATGTCAGATGATGAGATCATAATGATGAGAGAAATATTAAAATAGCCTCATACCAAGAGAAATAGAACAGGGCCACTGTATATTCATTGTGATTACATAAAAATTCTATAAAAACACAAAAAGAAAAAATGGAAATTTCAAAATATACACCTTGGGGTCATTAATTTCTTCATAAATCACATGATACTGTCTTTAATTTGTTAATTTTTTTAATTAGAAAAACTGATTCCAAGTCAACCCTAGCCTAACAATTAGATTTTCTAGAGAACGTATTATTATGGTAAAAGTAAATACTTAGAAAATCATATGCACTTTCAAGTAAAAACGGCAGGGTACAGCAGAATTAAACAATGTCCTGTCACCAACGATAAATGGGACAGTATATACATACCCATAATTTTGTAGCCAAAAGCCCATCAGCTGCAGTCAAACAAGAAATAATTAAAACTAAAAACCTATAATCTTTAATAACAGTGAGCAGTATGCAGGGGTCCTCAAACTTTTTAAACAGGGGGCCAGTTCACTCTCCCTCAGACTGTTGGAGGGCTGGACTGTGGGCCCTGGGACGAATCAGCTGCTAAGCAAGACAGGCAGTGGAGGCAAAAACACCCGGCGGGCCAGGTAAATGTCCTAGGCAGGCCACATGTGGCCTGCGGGCCCTAGTTTGAGGACGCCTATTTTAGGAAATCAATATGTTTACTTTCTTTATACTCAGTCAAGTATCTAATAAGGAATTTTATATTATGTATACCAAGAATTTATTTTTGCCATGATTAAAATATTAAAAATATAGAGTACATAATAAATAATTATTATTAGTAGGCCAACATTAAATAAATTGCTTCTTGCATAATATTTCCTTTAGTCAATAAGAAGTATTTCCCCCCACTTTACATACGAAAAAACTGAGACTCAAGGGATTCATTAACCTGCTGAATATCATACAGGTTACTACAGCCAGGAGTTCAATTTGGATCTGTCTGACTTTGGGCTGCATGTGGCCCATGGGCCATAGTTTGAGGATGCCTGGGTTATAGTATGGCTCCTAGCCTGATTATACCACCAGAAAAGCAGTAACAAGAAAGATACTCAGGAGAAAGTTTAATAAACATCCTCCAATTTGAATAGATAGATTCAATTTAGGCCAAGTGCAGTGGCTCACACCTGCCCCAGCACTTTAAAAGGCCAAAACGAGAGAATCACATGAGGCCAGGAATTGGAGACCAGCCTAAGCAACACAGTGAGACCTCGTCTATATGAAAAATAAAGCAAAATAGCTTTGTGTGGTAGTGGGTGCATTTATTCCCAACTACTTAAGAGGCCAAGGCAGGAGGATCACTTTTGAGCTCAAGCATTTGAGGCTGCACTGAGCTATGATCACACCAATTGGCATTCTAGCCTGGACAACAGAGCAAGGCCCTGTCTCTTGAAGAAGAAAAAAGAAAAATCCTCTAAAGCCTCTTTCTTGTCCTTGCTACCAAGATAACAAAAGAAAAGAAGGAACAACCAAAAACAGAGGCCAAAATGGCTACAGCCACGTGCAGCCTATCCACTACATGAACTGTGTCCAATGTGTACTTAACAATAATCCATTAAGAAGTTCACCATTACAAACACAGTGGAGACCAGAGCTGCCAGGAACATTTCTAGAATGAATGTTTTCAATGCCAAAGTGTTTCTCAAGCCATATGTGATTTACTGCCTGAGTCCTGCCATTCACAGCAAGATAGTTAGGAATTAGTCTCAGGAAGCCCACAAGAACTGAACACTGTCACCCTGAGTTGAGCAGGTACTGCCCCACAACCTCCACCAAAGTCTATGTAAGGAGCCAAGTCCTTAACCACAGGAGAAAAATGATCCTTTGAGGGAAAAAGGAAGGGCTTTTTCCTTTTAATAATGACATCTCATTCCCTTTCATCTACAAAGAAGCAGAAAGAGAACAATATACACTTATCAAAGGACTTATCAATGTACTGAGGGGGTACATTAAAATAAAGAAAAAATCACAGCTAAGGTGGAAATGGCCTTAGGGGGAATCACCCACATTATATCAAGACAAAAGTGAAGTCTTGACCAAGCTATCCAAATCAACCTGAGCAACATAAAAAGAAATAGCCACACAACTGTATAAATAATAACATACATCTAATAAAACAAAAGCTCAACAATGAAAAGACAAAATAAATTTAAAAAGAGGTTATAGAGCTAAGCAAACCAATTAAAAAGAGCAAGGCATCTGAAGAAAAAGCAAGAAAAGGATCCAAAGACAGGAAATCAAACTAATGGCAAGGGAAAAACATCTTAAGATAACAAGAATACTGAGAAGAAAAAAAAACAATGAAATCAAAGCCATTAGATAGAAAATGTAGGACAAAGATTGAACACAGAGATAATTAGTCTCCCTGAAGCAGAATAACTAATCAAGTGGAAGAGAAAAAGGCAGGGAGACATAATAGAAAATATCCCTAAAATAGAGGTGAAAAAAATCTATAGAGGGAGAGGAAAAATATACCAAATCACAGCTCTGAATACATGTCCTGGTGAAGTTAATGAAACACCAAGGATAAAGAAATAATTCTACAAAAATGCAGGATGTGGGGAAGGGGGAAAGCATTTCACCTTGTAAAGATTTTAAAACTAGGCATATGTAAAAGAAATTACTAGATCCTTCCAAAGAAATGCTGGAACATTTCTGGGGATAACTTATTCCTACAAGAATCACATTAAACTTACCAAAAAAATTTATTCTACATTCACTATTTCCACTCCACAATTCTAGTTCTTATGCTCATGATTTCTTCCTGTACTACCAAGCTTTCCTACATTATCTCAAGATACCAATCTCACTACTATTCAAACTGTCAAGTTATCCTCTTAAAACACAGATCTGATCATGTCATTCTACTCACTGAAAACCACATATGGGCCTAGGAACAGCAAAATAAAAACCCCAAAATTCTTTACATAGGGAGCAACCTTCTCTGGTTCTACCCTATCTCTACTATACACTCAAGCAAAGATGCATTATTTGTCATTTCCCAAAATCTATTGTATACTTTATACCTTTTATGCCTTTGCTAAATATAAAGACTACCTTAAAGACCCTATTCTCAAAAGTCCAAAATCACTACAGAATGCGCAAACCTTTCCAGTTAAAATTAATCTTGCATTCTTCTCTATTCCCTTCATGCCAATAATGCATGAGTCTGTCTTCTAATTGAGTGCATGCCTACCTTGCCCATAAGATAATAAACCCATCGAGAGCATAAACTGAGTCCTATATACTCTACTTTGAGGCCTGTTATGGGACCACAATCATAATAGATCCTCAACTTCCAAGTAAATACATAATCTCTTAATGAAAATTAATTTAACAAATAATAAGTCAAGACTAAAAATAACTTTGTTTGGTGAACCTATGATTAACTGGTAGTAGCCTTGAGTAATGAGTTGAAAAGGGTTCTAACATTAAATGTAGTCTCTCAAGTAGTATCCA